AATGTTGCCCCATTTTTTCTTTGCTACACGCACACCTTGTATGTGCTCAGCAGCTTTTTTGTCGAAGATAGAACTGCATCTGGGACACAACATAACTTCTGACTTCTTTTTCTAGCATTTGTGTAGAAAATCTGTCAGGTTTTCGTTTTCCTTAGGAAACACAAGATTGTTGATTTCCTCTTGTCTGATGCTGTCTTCTGAATCTGCAACTTTAGGTTCAGACACTTTAACCATATTTATTTCCACGTTGCTCTTACCAGCTATACTTAGCCTCTGCATCTTGGCCTATAGGCTTTCTATCGAACCTGTGACAGCAACCAAGTAGGAACCTTCAGTAGTTCTTTATTTGAGCCTTCAGTGGCTCCCTTGTTTAGGCTTTCAACAACCTTTCTTTGTACCTCCTCGACAACTTTTCTGCTAATGTCTTCAGTGAAACTGCCAAAAACAAGTTTGTTGATGAAGTCTTATGAGACTTTGACCATATTGATGCACGAAGGTTCAACATAATGGGAATCTGCCTGCAACGGGTTTACATCAATCTTCATGGGAGGTTTGTCAGCAAACTTGAGTCTGCCGTCTTTTATTGCACCTTGAACGAGATCCCTGAAAAGAAAACATTATGAGGTTTAATGGCCCAAAAAATTATGATGTTTACAAAAACCTCTCTTTTTCCTTTGATCTAAAGGAGGCATTTTTGCCCCTGGAGGCACTATCATCTGGACATCTTTAACTAACAAGTCAAATATTTTGTCACATTTTGTGACGTCGAAACTATATGTTTTCTTTGGGAACCTATCACTACTCTTTTCAGATTCAGTAGGATTCTTCCCATTTAAGGGTGTTAATAGTTTGCAAGAGTATGGTGGCCCTTGCTTTAATTCTGCTAGATCGACCTCACTCTCTTTGACAATTATAGGGTCACTAGATGTCACTGGATCATCATCATCCATTTCGACATATGCCACCCTTTCTCTTCGATGATTTTTATTTTCCTTAGCTTTTTCAGCCTTAAGGTGTTCCACCTGTCGAACTCTATCGACCAATTAGGCCATATCTCTCAGATATTGGGTATCTAATTTCTTCCTAATGAAATAATCTAGACCTCCTGCGCCATTTCGACCAACTCATGTTCATACACTTGTGTAAAGCATCTGGCTTTGAGCAGTCGAAATCTATTCAAATACTCATCAATTGGCTCAATGAATCTCCTCTTCACACTAGCCAATTCTTTCAAACTTATTTTGGTCTGTCCCATATAGAATTGTTCATGGAACAATCTTTCTAATTGATTCCAATTGTAAATCGAATTGGCTGGGAGTGTGGTAAACCAAGTGAAGGCATTTTTGGTTAAGGATCTTGAGAAATACTTAATATTAAGATTCTCATTATTTGAGAGTTCTCCGACCTCTATCAAATACCTTGCCACGTGCTCGACAATGGACTCTGTCGTATCCCCTGAAAACTTGGTGAACTTTGGAACTTTCCACCTAGGGGGTAAATCTGATTGCAAGATATAATCTGAAAATGGAGATGTAAAGTTTGGCCTATGAAAGCCAATGTTCACTCCATTATGTGCCATGATTCTTTCGACCATGGCTGTCAAGTTATTATCTGCAGCATGGTTATGGTGTCGAACCTGCCGTATTACCTCATCAGCATTTTGGTTTCTATTTACCATAACTACACCTTGTTCGACATCTCTTGGGATTTTTGGGGCGACTCTGGGTACTCCGACCCTAGGTTGTTCGACCTCCACTCTATGATTCATCCCATTTTGCTATGGATTCTGGTTAATGGTCATGTCATCCTCTAAGACCACACCCTGATTTCCTCTTATAATCTCTCTTTAGGGGTGTCGAATAGGTTGAGGAACCCCAAAAAATCCGGCCATGCGCGTCATTTGTGCTGCCATTTGCTGATTCAACTGAGTGGTATTTTGTATCAGAGGGTTAAGTATTGTACTCAAGGTTTGTGCCAACATCTGCACCATGTCATGGTTACTCTCATCCATTTGTTGCCTCAAAATTGCTACAAGAGCATTTGTGAGGCTTGACATTATATGAGACGTCCCTCCTAAGAGTTGGTTTCTACCCAGATTTGTTATACCTGTTCCAGATCCCTGCAATGGCGAAGATACACTCACCAAAGGTTTTGAAAATGTGGATGAGGCATTCATAAGACTTGCCATTTCAGCAATTGGCATGCCATAGGGTTGGTCTTGACTCATCCAGGCTGTTGAAAATCCTGGAGGGACATAAGGTCGAACTCCCAGATTTCCCCTTGGCGGGGGTATTCCTGGTGGACCCGTAGGACCTACATAAGAAAGTATTGGTCCTGTTTGTGTAACTGTAAATGTTAGTGTCGAACTAACCGTTGATGGCACAGGTTCACTAACTGTTGGTATAACCATCATTTCCGCGTGAATTGGTGGAGGTATTTCTCCACTACTTAGTGGATTATAATTAGCCACTCTCCTATTTATTCTCAGAGGTATGTACTATTTGGTAGTTGATTTACCACTTCTCAATAACATACAACACTTTTGAGAGAAAGGAAATTACGTAAAGCACTTATGATAAAACTGTTTTTATCAAAGTTTGTAAAAAAACAAAACTTAGCAACGTCCCACTGGGCGTGCCAATTTGTTTACCGTGAAAATTGGTAAACAACCGCTGATCTTCCAAAAGGGTTATTTTGGTTACTTACAGGATCGATCAGTTTGATCCTAGGACATATGCTAAGTGTTTTTTGGGGTTTGATAAGAAGTCTTAATGTTGTTCATGAATAAGTTTGACAGGATACTAAGAGTAAAGGTAGGATGAAGGTAAAAATTTGATAAAAACGTAAGTAAAATGCAGGATAAAGTAAATTTGCAGTAATTTAAAGAATCTAAAGACTTTGATTGCAATAAAGTATGATGATTCAAACGTACATTCTCAATATTCTTTCTCTCACAGGGGATACTTGAATAAAATTTAGTGACTTGTACAATAAGTTGAACACACGAAATTCTACACAAAATTCCTATATTTATACTAGTAATAAGTAACTGTCGAACGATTGCTTCATTCCAGGATGAGAACAAGTGTCCTCTGCATGCTCTTCGACCCCTATCTTCACGCCACATTGCTTTTCCTAACTGCCAAATAAACTGCCTTTCCCTCATTTCTTCAAATTCAAATCCACTTCCTACTGATACAAGAGCCTCTCGGTCGAAGACTGTCTTTAACTTAGAAAATTCTCTAAGTGTTTTCTCCTTCTTAGCAAGAATGACTTCGACACAACTCCTTTCATAGGCTCTTCTGTTAAAGTGTCTTCAACTTAGATTTCTTCAATATATTTTTAGCCAATAAGGCTAATATGTGTGAGTGTCGAATTTAGGAGCTAACACCAAGACAACTAACATAGAACTTAGAATAAAAATAGTGAACACACATATTTTTATCCTGGTTCACTATTAACAAAGCTACCTTTAGTCTACTCGCCAAGGTGATTTCGTCTTCTCACAAGGACTTAATCCACTATAGCCAAACTTGATTACAACCACAAAGACTAAATGTCAATGTCTTCTTGAAAAATTCTGACTATACCATAGTCCCTCAAGGAAATACAACTCAATAGTTGAATTACAAAGTGTGTTGCAAATATGTTTCTAAAAAGCAGATTACACAAATGAATATCAAAAGAATTACACACAAGGATATTTTCTATGAAAGAGTATGAACAAAAATGTTATTGAGTGTGTTGAAAATATTATTGAGCTTTTCTCTCTCTGTTTGTAAGCAAAATATCACGTTAAAGATGCTTGATCAAAATTCTTGCTTTCAATATCTTCAACACTCTTGTATATAGGCAATGCAAGATCCGCTAGAGGGTGGAAAAAGAATTCCAAAAATTCTAGTTGTATTTTTGCATAACGGTTTGTAGGAATGGTATAATAATACATTTCGCATCCCATGAATGGTCATATAAAACCCTACTGCTATAAATTGTATGATTATCCTCAATCCTATAGTCAACTAAGGCTCGACAGAAAAACAGGCTAGAAGGTTAACGCAAGGAAAGTCTGGAAACCAAAGTAACAAACTTACTACTCCTTTGCAACGTGTACTTATATTCATTGCAAAATGTTATTTTTTTACACAAGTAAAATGTTACTTCATCACTAACATTCATGAAATCATCACGAAGAACAAAGATGATAATTCCCATAAAAAATTATGCGAGATGATCTGCACTAGATAAAGAAACAAAAATAAGATTTACATTGTTGTTGGGTGGCACGACTTCAAGAAGGTATGCAATTTATAAAAATAAAACACTTGCGTTCACCGTTAAATGTAAAAATCTTCCAAACCTCCTATTAAAACTGAAATATAAATTTCTTTGTAATTGAGTTCCATTATATTTAATTTAATGTGTTTTTTCCTTTTTATTATCATTTTTTGATGTCATGTTAATTTTACAAAACTATTTCAATTGTTTATAATACATGTTGATTTTATTTATTTAAATATTTTAGTTATTTTTTATTTGGTTACTATCAAATTTGCTAGAAAGTAAAATTTGGTTGATATTACAATTAAAACTAAAGAAATGACTCTCTTTTATCTTTAACATTTTGTTTCAATTATGTTAGTATCAAATTACGCGCGTCACAATATTTTTTACTTGTTTTAATTATCTAAAACAAAACACATTAACATATATTTTAAAACATTAATTTATATTTAAAATCATAAATAAAAATGACGAATAAAAAAATCACAATAAGGTGGCGCCATTAGTTTAGATCCACAGTGAAAAAGTAGCGCCAGAAGCGAATTGAAAACTTAAACGCGAAAGAATAATATCGCGGGCCGTAACATTTCAAAGCCAAATTCCCGCCACAACTGACACTACAAAACACTCTCTCATTTCCCTCTTTCTTTCATCACTCTCTACTCTCTAACCCTAATTTTCATTTCCTCTTCAAACCCTAATTCTTCATCTTCAATCCAATGGCGAAAACTGTCACTCCAAACGCCATTTCTACCTTGTTTGCAAATCCGTCTCCTGCTTCTTCATCAGATGTTCCTGATATCGTTGTTCAAGTTTTGGATCTCCATCCCAGCGGAAACAGATACATGTATGGTTTAACTTTCTTACTTTTTCTTTGATTTTATATTTCATTTCTTTCTCTGGTTTTAGATCTGTGATCTTCGGTTATTGATATGTTGTTTTCTTTGTTCTTGGGTTTAGGTTCACTGCTAATGATGGAACGAAGAAGCTGAAGTCAATTCTTCAGTCGAGTCTGTCCTCAGAGGTGCTTTCTGGGAAGATTCAGAACCTTGGTCTTATTCACGTCCTTGATTATACTCTCAATGATATCCGCAATGAGAAGTAAGCACTGATTTCACTTTTGCATTCATTGTGTTGTGATATATGATTTTGTTATGCTAAATTTGTATGTTTCGGTTGTTGTAGGTTCCTAATTGTAACCAACTGTGAACCTGTTTCTCCCGCTCTTGAAGCGGAGATAAAAAGTGAACAACCCAGTATCACTTTGAAGCCAAAGACGGAATCTGGTATTGATTTGAAGCCGAAGCAGGGTGTTGTTTCGAAATCTGCTGCTCAGATCGTGCACGAGCAACATGGGAAGTGAGTATTATCTTTTCGTTTTCGTTCATTCAGAAAATTTAGGGTTTATGTTTTATTTTTGTGAATTTTGTTTAGTATTTGATTATTTATTTAATTTAATGGGTTTTCAGTTTGGCTCCTGCTGCTAGAATGGCTATGACACGTAGGGTGCGTCCTCTAGTTTCTTTGAATCCTTATATGGGTAGTTGGACAATCAAGGTCAGTGTTACAAGCAAAGGAACCTTGCGTACATATAAGAATGCTAGAGGAGAAGGATGTGTATTCAATGTCGAGTTAACTGATGAAGATGTGAGTAACAAGCTTATTTGATTTTTTTAAATTAATTTTGTGATAATTTTCTAGTTTAGAGAGTGTTGTGTTTAAATTTTTTGTATATGCTTTGAAATGTTTTCAGGGTACTCAGATTCAAGCAACAATGTTTAATGATGCGGCAAGGAAGTTTTATGAGAAGTTTGTTATGGGAAAGGTTTATTATGTTTCAAAAGGGACTTTGAAAGTTGCTAACAAACAGTTCAAAACTGTGCAAAATGATTATGAGATGACACTGAATGAAAATTCTGAGGTGGAAGAGGTTGCTAGTGAAGCTAGTTTTGTTCCGGAGACAAAATTCAATTTTGTCCCAATTGATCAGTTGGGTCCTCATGTCAATAAGTCAGATCTTGTTGGTGAGTGTTGTTAAGAGTATTGCTATTATTGCATGTCTGATTATTCTTTGCTGTTTGTCTAATTAATGTTTGCTGTGTATTTAAGATGTTGTTGGGATTGTTAAGAATGTGTCTTCAACAATGAGCATCAGAAGAAAGAGCAACAATGAGACTGTTCCCAAGCGTGACATTACTATTGCAGATGAAAGGTCAGTGCTCTCTATTTCTCATTTATGGCGCTTTGTATTTTGTTATCTTTAATACTGACTATTAAAGTAACACTGTTTGACATTTCAGCAAGAAGACAGTTGTTGTGTCTTTGTGGGGTGATCTTGCAACCAACATAGGGCAAGAGTTGTTGGACATGGCTGATAAATCTCCAGTAGTTGCAATCAAATCCGTGAAAGTTGGAGACTTTCAAGGTATTGAAAATGTTTAGCTGTGGCTAGTTATTGCTTAGCATTGTTGCTAAAAAGTTGCATATCTTAGTGTTAAATACCTTCTGTTTCAGGTGTTTCTTTGTCAGCCATAAGCAAAAGTTTGGTCCTGATCGATCCCGAAGTACCTGAAGCTCAGAAGCTCAGATTCTGGTACACCAATTTCCTCTAGACCGCTGTTGCTTTTTTATGCTATATTTATGTAAATAATATTGATTTTGTTGCTATTTGGGCTGCAGGTATGACTCTGAAGGCAAGGATACTGCAATGGCTGCTTTAAGCTCTGGCTCAATTACTTCCAGCGGTGGAAGTAGATCGGTGTACTCTGACCGTGTTCCACTCTCTTACATAACCTCCAACCCCTCCTTGGGGGATGAGAAGCCTGTTTTCTTCAGTATTAGAGGATACATAAATTCCATTAGGCCAGATCAGGCAATGTGGTATCGTGCTTGTAAGACTTGCAATAAGAAAGTCTCTGAAAGCATTGATGCTGGGTACTGGTGTGAAAGTTGCATGAAAAATGATCAAGAGTGCAATTTACGGTACATAATCTATTCCATTGATCTGAGTTTTGTAGATGATATTATGTCAGTATTTGAACCATTCATTTGCCCCATTCAGGTATATTATGATTGCTAGATTTATAGATGAAAGTGGTGAGGCATATATATCAGCCTTTAATGAAGAAGCTGAGAGACTCATTGGGTGCTCTGCTGATGAACTAGGCAACCTCAGATCACAGGTAACATTGGATACCCTTTTCTCAACGTTTCTGCATGTCTCGTACAATCTAATTTTGTCATTTAAGTTTGTTTTGATTGTTTTGATTGTTTTGTTCTGTTTAGGAGGGAGAAGAAAATCCTTATCAGATGAAATTGAAGCAAGCTACATGGATTCCACACCTCTTGCGAGTTAGTGTTTCTCAGAATGAGTATAATAATGAGAAGAGGCAAAGGATAACAGCTCGAACAGTTGTCCCTGTTGACTTTGCTGTTGAGTCAAAGATCCTTCTTGAAGACATATCAAAGATGGTAGCCTCTCATTAAGGCTGAAATGCTGATTCAATGATGCCTGAAGCCTTATCTTTTACTTCAATGCTTTTTACATGTTGCTGATGTAATTATTAATCCTTGGATGCTTTATTATATGTTTTGACTGATTCCGGAATCATGGATGGAAATTTCTTGCTTTAGACCCCCTCTTAATCACCATTTGTTACTGCAATTTTGGATGTTAATAGTATTCATGAAAGTGGTTTCTGTGGTATAACTTGTTTTAAAATTCTTAAGCCTTTTAACCACTGCATTTACTTGAGAAGAGAAATGGAGAAGACTGAGGATAAATAATGACTACATGAAACAGCAAAATTGGAAACTAAATCTTAAGTAATGCCTTAGTTGGAAATGCTCTATCCCTGATTTTAATGATGATATCTGCACTCTGAAATGAATTTGCACTATCCAAATTCATTGATTTCCTTGTTATATCCGTAATCATCTCATCTTCAGTGTGCAATAAGATGCTTTACACATACAATAGATTTGTAATCTATTTATAAACTCAATGCTAATGAAATAGTATTAGACCTAATTCTTTGAGAAAGAAAACTGAGTATAAGACAATAAATTTAACGAGTGCTCAATTGGTTGCTGATGACATGATCAACAAGAACTAGCATGTACGTTTCTATACGAAGCTGCGCTACTCGTTTCATACTAGAGTGATAAATGATAGGTTGTTTCTTTGCCCACCATGCTATGAGTGTCTTGCTTAAAAAAAGCCACAACCCTTAGAAGTAGATCACTTGTCATTAAGGTTAGACTTCTAATCAGCATCACAACTAGTATGAATGGAAATAGGAGAGATCATGAGTTAAATTCCTGTTGCTGATGTGAAGATATTTTTGATGGGTAAGCTGTAAGTACTTTTGTAAGTTCCTTTTGAGCCTTGAGCAACTCACTTAAACTTTCACATCGAAAAAAAAAGGAAATAGGAGAGATATATGTACGCTTAAGGTGAATGCCCCAAGAAATAATATCTTAAATATAGCTTAAGATTAATTTGATAGCTTGCCAATGAGAATCAAGGGATCAATCATGAATTAACATATTTTGTTGATAGTAAAGCAAATGTCCATGCGAGTAATGGTGGTATATTGGATTTTTTCACGTGAAAAACATAAGGTATGCTCTCAATGCACATCCTCTATGATACACATCTTGTGCATCATCACCATCAACTCCCACTGTCGCAACCAGGTGCTCTCTATACAATGTCTCCAGGAATGAAAATCTTGTATGACATTCTCTAGTGTCATCTATATGCTTTTGAGCATCACATGAGTAAGCTCCCAAATAGGTCACCATCATCTGCATCAGGAGTAGTTTAATAATCCTCCAATGATTGGAAGATGTATAAAGGATGACACATCACCAAGTGTGATGGACATGTCACCAACCAGAAGATGAAATGAAGTAGTCTCTGAGTGCCATCTCTCAACGAAAGCAAACAATAAATCATGGTTAATATAACCATACACTGCCCTTTATAAATCTTGCAGCCTAGGTGCATGCATGATGTCTTGAAACCACGACCCACTAATCTATGACAACTTTGTAATTTTCATATCATGGTTGATACATTTTAACGTATCACAATACTATAAAAAAACACATCATTAGAAAGTTCAAATCTTAATATATATAGTTTCAAAAGGAATAAATACTATATAGGCAAAATACTCATTTTGGTCCCTTAACTATAGGTCATTGTTCACTTTGGTCCCTTATTTTTTTGTTGTGCCAAAATGGTCTCTTAAGTTTCAAAACACAACCACGTTAGTCCTTCCGTTAGTGAAATACAAAAAGTAGACTTCAGGTGGCAGTTGTCATGCTTGAAGTGGCTTGTTGGAGGCAACGTGACAGAGAATAAGGACACACAATCTCCCAAAGCTCAAGATAGCATCTGCATGTTCTATTTGCCCAAAAAGAAAGCCAAAGGAAAGAGGAAGAGACTTACGAAGAGGCTTGTGAAGCTTGAGAAAGTGATTCCGTAGGTGATTGCTTTTCAGGTATGTTATTCTTGTTTTGTCTTCGTAACTGAATATTTGTTTATGGGATTTTGAATATTTGTTATGAGATTTCTGGGATTTAGGTTTAGTGGATGAATTTCTGAAACTCGTAATCCACCACAGTGGTGAGTTCGTTGATCCAGAGCGTAATGTCTATGAAGGAGGCCTGATATCTGAATTGCCAGTAGATGTTGATAGGTGGAGTTACTTCGAGTTAGTTGGTGTATTGAAAGACTTAGGTTATACGAACAATATAGATAAAATATATTACAAAGACCCACAATTTGGGATGAATGAGCTAGTTGATGACAAATGTGTCCTAGAAATTGCAGACCTATACAGGGTGCATCATATTGTTCATTTTTACATTAAACATAATTTGTCTCAACCTGAGCATTGTGATGGTCCTGTTGAGGAGCATGAGAATATTGTAGATGAGATGGAGGAGTTGCTTACCAAGCTGCATGATGAAATTGAAGGAAAGTTAAAGGAGACTGTTGTTGGTGTGGATGAAGTTAATGATGGATTGAATGATCCAAGTGTTGTTGTGGAACAAAGTAATGCTGAATTGAATGATGCAAATCTAGGGGTGGAAGCAACAAATGTTGAAGTGGAGCCAAATACTGATGGTCAGGTGCACGAGGAATCCAATTCTGATGAAATCGAGGATGGGAGTTACCAGTATGATAGTGCCCTAGAAGTAGCCTTTGAAGATGAATTTGATGGTTATGGGGATATTGATGAAAATGAAATTGCAGACCTGACTTTGTATGACAGTAATGAAATATCAAAAGGAAAAGGAAAAAGGAAAGTGCAACAAAGATACAGAGGAATATAAGGAGAGTGACAATGACAGTGAGGATCTTCAAAGTGGTTGTGACAATGATGACAATAGTGGGGTTAAAAGGAATACATACCTAATTTTCAAAGAGATAAAAGATATGGCCAATTACAAATGAGAATTAGGAATGTATTTTACTTCAAAGAATGACATTAAGGAAGTAGTTGCCTTTATAAGTAGACCACTTGTCATTAAGGTTAGACTCCTAATCAGCATCACAACTAGTATGAATGAAAATATGAGAGATCTTGAGTTCAATTCCTATTGCCGATGTGGAGATATTTTTGATGGATAATCTGTAAGTACTTTTGTAAGTTCTTTTTGAGCCTTGAGGTTTGCCTTAGTTCTGACGAATCTTTGAAACTCAACTCACTTAAACTTACACATGACAAAAAAAAAAGGAAATAGGAGAGATATATGTACGCTTAAGGTGAATGCCCCAAGAAATAATATCCTAAATATACCTTAAGATTAATTAGATAGATCGCCAATGAGAACCAAGGGGATCAATCATGAATTAACATACTTTGTTGACAGTAAAACAAATGTCAATGCGAGTAATAGTGGTATATTAGAGTGCACCAACAATTGACGTTGACAGTGGGAGGAGTATACACAGAAGGGGCTCTAGGAATACTTTGCATATATATTCGAACTTCCTCATTAGTCACTAAGGTAAATGTGGATATATCAATAAGGATCCACAAGCCAATAAACCAGAGTATATGGCTATCACATCCAAGGGTTGTGTTTAACGGTGATCAACATATAACATGAATCTGATATCATCCTCCGTAATGGGATCCAAATAAACTCGAAACGACTCAATTTCTTGATCCGCTCCGAGGGAGATTGTAACGCTCATAATTTAATTAATTATTTAATTAAATTATTTGTGGAATATTTGAGAGGATGTGTTATGATTAATTGGATTTATTTATTAAGTGGAGAAATAATATTAAAATTATAATACTATTGGATGTGGGCTTGTTTTTGAAGGAATAAAAGTAATAAGGGGGGGTGTATTAGTTTGGAGCTCAATAAGGAATAAAGAAATAATAGGTTATTTTATTATTGATAGAATAATAGAAAGAAAGAAGCAGTAAAAGAATAAAGATTGAGAAGGAGAACGTGAAGCTGCTGGAAAAAGTGGAAAAACGGCAGAACGAGAATTCAACCGGAAAATTATAGAGCGACCTTCAATCCAAGGTAAGGGTGGGGTTCTGACTTTATAATTGGGTTCATGATGATTGATATGTGGGGTTAGAGGTGATTGCTGTTTTGTTCTTGAATTGGATGTATATGATGATGTATGATGAAGATTTGATGAATTTTAGATGAATAAAGATGTCCCGACGTTGTTTGATCGATATAGAACCATAGGATAATTGTAGGTGATGATTTATCATGATTGTATTAAGTTTGTAGGGCTTAAACATGAATCCCGTAGTGAGATGCATGGAAAAATCGCAGAAATATGCAGGAATGATCAGGATGTGTCGATCTCAAACATGATGCATCAATACATGAGCGATGTTAGACTCAGTATGAGTCGACACGAAAGAGGCTTGCATCGATACATGAAGGTTGAAAGACTCAGGATGAGTCGATATGTGGGATGCATGTGTCGATACATGCTGTGTGCAAGACTCAGGATAAGTCGATCCATGAGAGGATGCATCGACTCATGTTGTGCAGTTAGAGCAGTATGCGTCGATCCAAGGGGTTTTGCGTCGACCCATAATGCCTGATTTTTGGCAGATTGAGTTTTAAAGTGCTGTAACTTGAGTTTTAGGATGCCGTTTGAGATGCCGTTTGAAGCGTTGAATAGCTAACGCGATGAACTTTATTCTAGAGGATTAAAATGAAGAATAAGAAGTGTAATACTAGTAGCCAATTTAGGATTTAGAATTAATCCCCATGTTGGTCGTTGCGTTGGTTTTGTACAAAATGGTGAAGATGAGATGCTTAGAGGCTGCTGTTTGAATTATGACAGTAGGATAGTGACGGTAATGACGTTAGAGTTACAAAATAGCAACCGTGGTATTAATGTACAACTGAGTTGTTAATGAGAAGTTATTAATGATGTTGTGTTGATGATTTATATTAAATAAATGATGTTTGATGAATTATTA